GCCCACCCTTCAGGTCACTGTGTAAAGTTACTTTCCCTGGAAAACATGCCCTGAACCTCCCTTTCTCAGCAAGCCCTTGTCACGTACCCCTGACTGTGGGGGGATCCTGCACCTCCTCTGTTGTAGCAATTATCCTTATCGTACCGCTTGCTTGTCTCCCTGCTGGACTGTAAGCTCCACAGCGCAGGCAACATGTGTGTCCTTCTCATGACCTGTGCAGCGCCCAGCACACTCAGAAATAACTACACAGCCCTGGTGCTCAATAGTTACTTATGGAATGAACATACATGTTCTGAACTCGTGAACTGAGAAAAATTGTTTTCTCCCCAGCCTGGAGTGTGGGATTTCTAAAAACCCCATTGTGGGAGAATTCACAGTTGACTTTGTGAAATAAACAGGACAAGAAAAATAAGAGTCCCAGGTAAACGAGTAAATGCATTCTAAAAATTATTTTTATATAAAAATTAAAATAATGAAGACAACCAATTAAATAAAAGGACTTTAAAATACAAATAACTTAGCAATAATGAGCCCTATACATTTCACCTACATTTATAATTCCTCACATCTTAAAAATTTCCTAGGATTTCCCACCCTCATGTGCTTTGCTTGCTGTGGTCATGCAAACGCCAGGACATGCAAACATGTCCTGACATTTGCACATGACCTTTGTACTTGTGCTTGAACTGCTGTCCAAATATCCAAAGGCTTTCTAGTTTTAAAGCTCAGCGATTTTTACTCCTGTCACTGAGCCCCACCTAGATTGCAGAAACACAACCAGAAACATATGGCTTCAGCCCTTCTTATGAAAAATGAACCTGGACTCCACCTAACAGACTCAGAGACTAATCCCAAAGATGGGTTTCTTCCCCTCAGTGTTGCCCCATCTCCCCCAAAGCTGTACTGCACAAACATCGTCCTCAGCTGCCTTTCATTTCCTTTCCTTTCTAATCCCCAGATTCTCCTCTTCATAGTTACCCTGATAAGAATAGCTCACAATTTACAAATCAGAATTAGTTATAAAGGACTGGATCTGTATCCTCATCATATTTTCTTCCAAACAAAAGAGCCTAAGGTAATAAGCTATTAGCCTATGATCTAATAATCCTAGTTTCTATCCCATCTCAAGCTACATTGAGATGTCTCCTTAAACTAAGATTTATTTTTATTTAAATACTACTATGTGCATCTCATTTCTTATTAGAGATAGAGTTATATTTTAAAAATCAAACAAAAGGATATCACAACAATTAAACAATTGCTGTCTTGGAGACTGCAGGATACA